AATTGTATATTTACATTCTTTTTTCTTAATTACTGAATGAAATTAATTTGTCAAATTAATTAAACTAACTAGAGTTTTGCATACAAGAATGTATCAAAAGAAATTGTACCATATATATGACTTGATGGCCAGTCACGATGACAAAGACAATCTGATATGTTTTATAATAATGCATTATTAACTACGAAGAAATGATTCGCCTGCATTTATAGAATAATCACTTGGAAGTGTTTGGAGTCAGAACAATAAAGACCTCTTCTATCAATTCGTTGGGATATTGTTGCAGGAGTTGCTACAGCCTACAGTGACCGTCTTAATCTCTTAACGATCATTGCTGAAACTGGTGAAGCTCTTACCAGCTTTGGTCTCATGCAATAATGACGAAAAGCACGTAAAGAAGATGAAGATGCAGCATTACTTTCATTTTACATTAATAATTACAATATAAAGATGATAAAACTAAATAAATCATAACAATAATTACTAAAGAAAAAATAATAATTCATTATTAAAACTTACATTAAAGAATAATATTAATACTGAAACACTTTATATTATTTCAAATTTGCATAAACAAACTTTGTTGGTAATTTCTCATTTTTTTACAGGCGAAAGAAATTATTAAATACTTGGAATTTTATCTATACAAGCTTCACAGGAGCAAACCATCCATAATTTCCTTCTATTTTTGTATGCATGTTACAAGTAAGATGAAGTGATGCGATATGTAAGCTCTCAAGGTAAACTTTTTTTTACAGAGCGTTTAAATTGCTCTATTAATTTAACTTATAATTTAAATATTCAATATGCTATGATTTATTATTTTCATGTCAAGATATCGGCATGATACATTATGATGTACATTAAGTGTTGCGACTGTGTCAAGAAGTAGGCTTGATAGAAATTTGCGTACAATTACCGGTTTTACTTGATCTATAGACCACCGCTGTAAATTTCGCGCTTACAATTAATGTAGATCTCGTCGCCATACCATTTGATCATGATGAACTAAGGAAGAAATTATGGTTAAAGATAGATAATTTTGAATCACTTTAAAATTAAGAATCAATTTTAATTCAGTTTCAAAAAATTAATTTTTAAATATGCCACAAATTGATTATTTGAAATTTGTAATTATAATTTATTATAGATTATTTATGTATATTCCTAAAAGACTTGATTGAATAAGCACGTAATTTATTGTCTGTTATTTATAATAGATTAGTGATAATCTGTTATTTATAATTACTAGTAATTAATCTTTAATGTTAAAACAATCTCCACATTTTTTTCGTCAAACTTCAACTTGTTGAACTTTCCTATCTATCCAATGTAAATTAAAGCGATGCAAAATTCATTTGAAACATCCTATATGATTCATACCTGCAATAAACTAATGAAGAAAGCCTTTACATTTTTCGCTCCTTCTACTTAGGCATACATATCCTTAATGCCAATTGCTTTGCAACACGCTTTTATTGCATAGTGGCAAACAAGCCCATACCTTTCATGCATTTTCTTCACAAATATCTTTGTTTCTAAATTGAGTGAAAAAGTCGTGCAACACTAAAACAGTCATATTGAGTTATATTAAGATTATTAAAAGTTATCTCTATTGTTACAAGATTAAATTCTCATAGAATTAAATCAAGAAAACAAGCGAGATACCAATCCATATCACATAATTACATTATTTCTTACCAGTATGCTCTTTGTATCTAAGTATATACATTAATCTTAGACTTGCTCTGTTATTGGCTATCTTTAAAGCTGCTTTTTATACAGGTGCTTTAGCTAGCACAAACTCAGTCAGATCATTGCCATTTCCTGTTACAACAAATACACTAATGCGATTCTTGTGTCTCAAATCAGTCATACAGCTGACTTAATTTGTCTTTTTAAAACCTAAGTTTCAAAATCATCAGAGGTATCTGTAAGATAGATATATATTGCAGTACAAGACTTTGTTACCATTACTATAAATTATAAAGTAAATTATTAGAGCATTACATTCAAAAATTATGTAATTTTTATTATCATATTGACTACAATATAATATTACACATATACACATTTACCGCGCGCATGTGTATAAGAAATATATATATATATATATATATATATATATATATATATATATATATATATATATACTATAT